TATATCCTGTTTATTTTCTACGAAGTACTTCTTCATACTACGTAATAATACTCTTTCGTTGTATATAGAAAAGTATGTAATACTGCAGCGATAAAAAGCAAAAGTTCGTTTTGTGAGTCTTTAATAACGAAAAATTTATTTTTCCTGCTCCCGTATGTAAGTGAATTCTTTCTCGAAAACGCAATCAGAATCCTCATTTCATTGGAACTACACTGAAATAGTGTGCGCAAAGTTTCGGCAAAACGGTCGTCCGTGCTCCATCTTTGCCAAATCATTTTGTGGGCTGGGAACGTACTTGTTGGTTCAGTCAGGACTTCATAACAGTTGCAAAAACCACATAAGTTGAAAATTCTCCGGAAGCTAAATTAGGCTCATTTTTAACAAGGCTGCCCTAATAGAAGTATGACAAATGAAAATTACCAACAATCAGTAAGTCAGCTTGATTTTCTCAACCAGTAGATCAGCATAATTTGTTTCATTTATTGAATGAGTATTTTGAGACTGGTTGCTACATTATATTATTATAATATTATCTACAAGAAGTTATAGTTTTAACATCCTTGCGAAGGATGTGTTCAATAGCTTTTACTGAAGAATATAATGTAGTGGATGAAATATTCCTCATTACCACTGGTGTTTATACTTTCTTAGTTACTCATCTGTTTCGATGTATCACAGTCTACAAGGAAAATGAATTGAGAGGAAGTTATGTGTTGTCTACAGGGAATTTATTCGTGATAAACGCATTGGCATCTTGGTTCTTCAGTAGCAGTGGGCAATTTATAATAGTTTAACTGTTTTTTGTTATTCGTTAATTTTTTGCTTGTAACGATTTGTTTGTCCTCTTAATAATTTTAGATGACCCGTAGATATATTTTCTATTTTCGTTCTCTTTATGTTTGCGAAGTTCAATTCGAAGCTCCTCAAGATTTTCCCGTTCTTTCGTTCTTGCTCACTCAGCTTATAGGTTCTTCCATGATGAAAATACATTATTTTCTTCGTGGATTCTTCCCACTGGCAAGCTTCAACTTCCGCTATCCTCCTGTATACAAATATGGCGAGTAAGTCAGTTACGTATTGCATCATGTAAATTAGGATCATTATTTGCCTTATTTGCTGGTGTTATTAAATAACTAAGTTCCATTTATTAATTACTTGAAACAGAAATTTAAACCTTGAGATTGTTGCACGAGTATTCTATTTTTCTTGAGAACAATACCTGAGCACTCTCCCCTGCATACATCTGTATTGATGACAACCTTATTATTCAAGAATTGAGCGAGGAATATTTTGATAGTAATTAAGAGTAATAAAGTATTTTATTTTCGAACTTCCGATATGTATGTAAATTCCAGTATTTTGACAAGAAGTCCATTTACAAAATTCATTATGGTCTTGTTTATAAATATTTTTTAATTAAAAATTTATTTTTGATTTTTTTTAACTCGGTAGTATGCATTTATTTACAGGCACTGTGAAACCGATAAACGGTAAAGTGATTCTATAAGTTATTAAACATTGAAACTTTCATAGATTGACTGGTTTTAACAAAAAAATACCCTCCTGGCTTTTAGCAGATTACTGTGAAAAAAGAGGTTTACCTACTCCAGTTTTGAGTTTTTGATGTGAAAACCGAGAGATAGAGGCACTGTGAGACAAAAAAAAATTCATAGGGTCATTTTTAGTCAAAACTCCTGTGCTGTTTCAAAGCTTCCAATCACATCATGTTTCCTACTTAAAAAACGAATGCGTTTTTATTGAGTTGATGTATGTCAGAAGCTGGGATTTTTCTTGAGTGTATGTGGGGTGAATTGTGTCCTGCCGACTTCATGTTTTTTAATAATGAATTTTTCGTTTATACTGAATTCGAAATGTATTCTTTTGTTGGCTTATAGTTAATATTTATAACGTTAACAATTGGTATTTTGAATGTCTTTCGTTAGTATAGAAAATTGTGGGAGCCTTATGCTCCCACCGGGATGGGGAGCAGTAGTGGTTTTACATGCTTTCTTCTTGCAGAGACTACCTTTTATTCCTGTATTATCTAAAAACATGACTGAATCAGTAGCCGGAACTTTCCGTTTGTGCATTTGTAATATCAGAGTTTTAAAAAGTATGTTTATAAAACTCGGGTTTACACTGTTTTTTTTTTTTTCTTCTTCTCGTGAAAGTCTTCGACCACTCTCGCGTAGTGCATGTGGTGTTAATGAAGGATGTAGAAATATGAGTCTCTTCGCGTGACGCAGCTCTCGGAATGCGAAAGCGATAGATGTGGCAACGCCGCGCCTATCGGAGGGGTGAATCCCTCTTCGCTCGCCTCTTGCCCGTCGCCGCCGTTGCCTGAGCGTCCGCCCGAAGGGTGGTTATTTATTTTCCCTCCCCTCGCGGGGAGAACAGGGCCCCTCGCCTCGCCTCGCCTCGCCTCGCCTCGCCTCGCCTCGCGCCTCCTCTATTGGCTCGCGCCGCGGCCAGTTGGTGTGACACGGCAGCGATTTGGTAATTCATTTCACTCGGGTGGGAGCGAGAGCTCATTCCAGGTTTCGAAATTTAATAATATTTTCTTAGAATGGTTCTTAATCTCCTGAACTAATCGCTGCCTCTTTATTTTTTTAGATGTATTACGTGAGGAATATATACTTTATTAGTTGGCGTAATTGAAGTACAGCGCGAACGGCGAATCTGAGAATTCTTGGATTTACTGTCGGTCAGTTGTCGAATCGCCGATGTTTCGTGTGCCGCGTCCATCGTGTGCTCCTTCCGCCTCGTGTCGCCCCTCCTTCGCTCAGTTCTTGGCGTCCTTATCTTATTTTCCCTGCGCCGAGCGGCGCCTCACCTCCCTACTCCCCTCCCAGGCGGGCTTAGTCACGAGGGGTGGGGGGAGCGGCCCGATATGGCGGGTTGGCGTTCGTAACAGCGAACGCCATTGGTTGTTGCATGACGCATGCGCTTCGCGGGACTGCGCAACGAAGCAAATAAGAATTACGTCGACGCGTCTGCGCAACTGGGAGTCGAGCGACGGGCTTGTTCTCGCCTCTCGCATTGCTTCATGTCCATTTTTAACAAAGATCGCAGAGTTCTCTCTGCGTATACGTTACCCGAAGTGTCTGGACCGAGGGCGGGGCCTTATTACTTTCAAAACGAACCCATTTCCAACAGATGTTTTTATCGAGTTGTATACTCGTAACCCAATATTCACATACCAAGAGATAATTTAAATTTGAATCTTAGTAAAAATGTTTAGGATTATCAGTAGAAGCCGTGTTCAATAAATTATATACACGCGAAAACCTTTAGAGGCGTCGCAATTTGAACTCTCCCATAGCTTTAACTCCGTATCATTAAAAAGGAAATAGAAATGAAGGTTTCAACGCGTACTATTCAACTAAAATTATGACCTATAGGTGCAGATAATGAGTCCAAAATCAACCATGTTTTTTCTTCTTTAAAAGTGTTTCATAAATTTGTTTGAATGATTAGACTTGCAGCAAGTACGGCGAATATCTTTATTTGAAGGAAAATGATTTTCTTTCTTATGCTAATTTTAAGATATATTAATTCTTAAGCATTCATAGTTTCGGAAAAATACTGTTTCAACCAAATCTGGTGGCGTATATTAGGTAAATGCCTCGAAACACCTGCTTGTTTACTCACATTGTAGATGTATACTATGTAATTTCAGATAATATGTGACAATTCGCTTGCAAACAGTACACCAAAAAAATTTCATTTAGGGACAAAGTTGTAAGATATGATTTATCTAATTGAGTGTGTTGTTATATCTCTTGTTCGTAATTCAGTAGTTCTTGATGACCGCCATTTTGAAAACGCAATAACATTTTTGCATTTGCTTCTCGTCCATTGCTGATTAACATCGCCTCTTCCCCTCCCCTTCTGAGACCCCGCCCTGCGTGTGTGTGTGTGTGTCTCTCTCTCTCTCGCTCCCAGGGGCGCCTCCTCCCGACCTGCGTGCTGTTTCGTTCGCGCGAAGGTTTTTCTTCTTCGTTTTGTTTGAGGCGAAGGGGAGGGCTCTCGTGAGGGGATCCCGTATGATTGATGGTAGGGGGAGCATAATGGAAACCAGATGATGGGGGGGTTCTTTCGCTTTGAAAAAATGAAAAAAAAGGGGAGGGAGATGCTGGAAGGGTGGGAGGAGCGGAGGGGACGCGGTCCTTTGGGGATTGATTCGCAGACTCTCCCCTACCGCTACCTCCCCCTCTCCTCCCCTCTCCCCTTCCCACTCCACGGTGTCCTCGATCTACGCTGTGTGGAAAAGTAGGGGAGGCGGCGAGTGGAAGCCACGTTAAAAGCATTCGGTGATTGGCTTCGCCGCCATGGCTGCTGACCGTCATAACGCGGTCCTGGAATCTCTGGTTTTTATTGGATTGTGAGGAACCGCAGGGTCGCCATAGCTTTGCGATGGGATATCGTGCTGCTGTGATCTCGCGGCAACATAGCCTGAGGAAATGAGTTACTATTCGGAGATTATGAGATCCCAATGTTACCCAAGTAAGGGATCCATTTAGAAGGGATTGGTTCTTCGTGCTGGAAATTAAACGGAATTTGTTTGATTTAGAATTGTGTGACAATTCTTTGCTGAACATAGTCGAATTCTGTTTCGTCAAAAAAGAAAAAGAAAAGAGGGTACGATTTTTTTTCTTTTGAATAATATTATTAGGGTCCGGTTTGATAAGCGTATTTGGATTTAAACAGATTTGCCTCGAGCGTTTTATATGTAACGCGCATGGCATATTTAGGAGGTAATATGAATAGATCTTTTCCCGAAACGAATGAGGAAAGCTACTCAATCCTTATTATTCCCTCAAGTCACGTTGTCTTCTCTTTCATCTGTCTACATAGTTTGCATTTTGTTTCAAAACACTTTTCTGTTCTCAGGAAGACGTTCTGTTTTTCTGAAACTACAAAGCGTTTTTGTAGTATTTCTTTGTAAGTTATCTCCTAATCTGCTAGAGTTATCGAAATTCCCTTTCCTTCTTTTTCAGGGGTTCGGTGAATGTGTGCTTGAGCATACCCGAAGAAGGGGGTGACGGAGAAGTTAGCAGTTCAGCTGAACCTAAGCAAGAGGAAGAGGTGCCGGTTGTTGAACATACTAATTGGCGATTGTTCCAAGCACTGCTGGATGCTGTGGTAGAGACTGAGGTGAGTGCTTTGTGTTTCTATGAAGCCAAGACGGGCTAGTTTTCTGGTTCACTATTAAAACTTTATTGAGACTGATAATATACCCGGACATCAACTCGTTCTCTCGTAGATGTTTTCGACGATGATTTTTTCTGCTTTGTGACGTTGTTGAAATTAGAAATCGAGCCAGGAGAAATGATTTACCTTTAAACATAAGATTGTAATGGCATGTTTTCTCATCAAGATTATTTTTAAAGTCAAAGAATTCGCAATACCCAAGTACCCTAATTATATTTTTCCCTATTTGCCCGACAGCATCCAAAACTTATCCGTGACGTTCCGTCCCTGACGACCAGCCGAAGTCAAATCGTGGTCGAAAGGATGTGCTACTCAGACCTCTTTGCATGTTATAGGTTCTCTTACAGTCGTCAAAAAGAATAAGAGATTGTAGTGAAATAATTTTAGAGTTGAAATTCTGTAATTGTAGTTGATAAAATTATTAAAACAACAACAAAAACTTGTTAAGTCCGTCTTTTCTATCGGTGATCAAGTTATTGATGCAACTAAAGTATTTATAATCGTGGAAACTGAATGAACGTGATATCCAGAACCAATTTGAGATAAATAGAAAATAATATGAAAAATGTGTTGGTGTAGGTGAATAGTGCTTTGTATCAGGATTGAGCAGGGAATAGAAGGAAGCAGAAATTATTTACATAAGGAACTGCTATGGTCTATCAAAGTAAAACTCGCAAGTTGTCTTTCAAATTCAGGGAAGCTAAGATTCTGAATCTCAACTTGATAGTAAACTTGTAAATGAATATGATGCATTTTCAACCTGCATAATAGATGGAAACTGTTGACAAATAAGCTCAAAATTCTTACTCTTAATGTTGATAAGAGATTACGGTCCTTTTAACTGTGTTTATTTTTTTCTTATTTCGAAGTTTGCCTTCTGGTCCAAGATTATCAAAGTAAAATATCACTTGCAAAAGACCACTATTAAATTTGGATTGACAGTAAAGGAAACCTAAGCTACTTTTGTCAACAAAAAAAAAGTGTGTGACTTCACACTAAAAAAATGTGTGTTATATTTTTGGATAAAGGCTTATTAAATTTTTTCATATAATATCTTCTTCATGTGTATTCCACCAAAACATAAAAAAAAGTGAATCTAATGGTTTATAATGTAAAATAGTGGCTTTTCCTGTTCATTTACTCCAGATTGTGGACATAGACATTGTTTTATTTACCTGTGGAGTACAGAATTAAAAAATACATAAAATATTGCTCTATGAATGAAATGTGTAAAGAATTAATGTTTTGTATACATAACTTATTTTCTTCAATTAGGTGAATGGTAAATAATTTGCTGTTCGAAAATGTATTATATGATTTATTCACCTTCTTTTTAAACAATGTGTGTGCTTTTTGCATGTTAGGAGCAAGACATGGGGGATGCCAACAAACAGCAACAACAACAGGGTCAACAAACAGCTAACAGTGTGGAGCAGGGTCAGCAAGTGCAGGTGCAAATGAGCCACGATGGCAGTGCGGGGCCACAGCAGGCAGGCACCCAACATGCAGTGGTTGGTGTCCAGCAGGCCCAACATCATCAGCAACAGGGTACAGTGACTGTGGTTTCATCTGGTGTAGGAACTCCAACTGCAACACTGCAAACCCAGCAACAGCAGCAGCAACAGATTCAGCAGCAGGTGAGAGCGTCTTGTTTTGATGTCAAAAATATTTGCCATGATTATTGGTAGTATTGAAAAGGAGAAAAAACTCGAGAGTTTGAATATTGTAGCACTGCTTATCAAATTCAGAAAGAAATGTGTACTAAAACATTTACAAGAGATATTTTCATAAGTCTCTAATTTTGAAATCACATAAGACATTAATGTTTAAATGAAGTTTTAAGTACTGGGTTTTGTGTTTTATTGTTGTTTTTTATTTACTTATATATTTATTCATTTAAAACATTGTAAATAGAATGAATGTTTGTGATTGTTTTTCTACATACTATCCTTGGAATGTGTGGTAAAGTTTGGCAGTATTTTGTCTTAGTGGAGCTCTTTTATCTCCCTTAAAATTCAATTAAATTTTTGTTGCCATTCGTGACAGCATGTTCACTGCGAAAGCTGTTGCCACTTAAAAGATGAAATTTAAAATCATTAACAAAAAGACAAAATTATGTCCAGGCATGAGCTATTGTAGTTAAATGTAACAATCTTGAGTTGGTCTTGATTTTTTTGTGTGTGTGTGTGTTTGTTTCTGGTTTATTTTTACTGTACACAGACTTTTGACAATCATTTAATTTTTCTGGGCAGCAGCATTAAAAGTGGGAAGTTCTCTTGAAACCTGTCAGAAGACTTATTTCAAAATTAAAGAAATATGGATTATATGTGACAATAAGTTAAATAATTGTATATTTTGATGTAAATTTTTACCACCTTGGAAAAAAAATGTTTGCAGTGAACATGAGTACAATTTTTCAAAATATATTTTATTTGCGCATTGCAATTTGAAATTTTATTGAAATGAAATCCTACCACAATGCTGCACTAAAATCTATTCAAGAAAGAAATTGTTTGTTTGTTCTCTTAAGTTTATCAAAATTTATTTTCCATCTTGATGCATCCTTCATTCTGAAAGTTCATTTCTTTTAAAGAGAAGGCAAAGAACCAAAATCTAAATCTGATAAATTATAAAACTACTTCATATAAGAAAATTATCCATTTTAATTTGGTGGATATTATAATTACTGTGTGTTTAAAAGTTTCTCTGGAAAATTAAAGTAGAAGAAAAATAATTAGTTGACTTATTAGACAATGATTGCATTGCAGGTGGCTGTGTCAATGCAGCAGAATCCACCAGCTATTGCCCCTGCTCCATTGCCACCTCAGTCAGGGACCACCACCATCACAACAATGTCCACATTACATCCTTCCTTGCAGCATCCAGTTCCTCCCCCCACCCCACAGCCTCTTGGGCAGCATCCTGGTGTGCCCCACTCCCAGATGCAGCAGGTGAGGAAATATTTTGATAAGTGAATGAATGAATAAATGAAAGAAAGGGTGGGAAAAGGAAAGGCTTTAATTAGTAACAAAATGGATGAACAAAACCATTTTCACTTCCCATAAAAAAAAAAAAAAATGAAATAAAATTTATGAGTACTCTTTGGTGTTCTTCCATCTTCAACAGATCATACATGGTGAAACATTTATATTTAGTTTTCATATTATTATCAGTTGGTGATGTTACGCCCAAATATTTTATTTATATAGTGGGAAGATTGTGTAAACAGTGATTATTGTTTGTTTTTTAGTTTAATATTATTGTGTTCAATTAACCCCAAATTATTTAAAATATAGGGACAACTTACTGGCAGTGAATAATCATTATTGTTTCATGGAGCAAACAGTGAATTTTTTGTGTTAGTATCCTTGATAATATTGAAGAAACATGGCAAAGAGAAAGGATTGAATTGAGGTAGTTACTGTCTTTCATATTTCGTGGCCTCTAAAATCCATTTTCTGTTTGTGTTACCTACATAGCCAAATAAGAGTATTTCTCTTTTGTTCTTAAAGACAGGGAGAATTGGGGTCAGGTCTTTCCCAATATTTTCAAGTGCATCGAGTGGTTTTAATCCCAATTTAATTTTTTTTTCTAAAAGCACCGTAAAACACTTTGTATTGAATATATTTATTTGTTATGTAACATTGAGACAATATAGTGTTTATAAAAATGTTTTGCTGTGCATCAAGTCAAATTTGCATTAGTCAAAAATGCTTGGAATAAGGGTTGGGAAGAAGCTCCGAAACTAGTAATTATATATGGAAATTGCATTTTTGTGTCTAATGAAGAAAACCAATAAGCACATTACTTCCCAAAACTTCTGCTCTAACAACTGCTGCCATCTCAGTTGACATTTTTGCCATAATTTGTCGCAGTATATTATTGTGTTCAATACTGGCTTCTAACTGAACCTCTTTTATTTTCTTGTGCACCATATGAGCTTTTAGTAACAGACACTTAAAAAAAACAAAAATTGTTAACTAAAAGTTTGCTGAAGTACTAGGATGTAAATTGCTTACTTTGATTCCCCCCCCCCAATTTTTGATGACAGAGACATACATGCTCAGAAGTTGTAAAGCAAGCAAACTGAGTAGCTATTATTAAGAAGAATGCAAAATTTAAAAGATGAAATTCTAGTATCTAAATGGACTGGATAACTCCCTGACATCTAAATTAAGTGATGTGATGCTGACGATGTTGTCTACTCAGGAGTTGGATGGGGGGGTTATATTTGGGCTGTTGAGTGCCAAAAGACAATGTAAATTTTTTAAAACAAAATACTGTTTTTTGAGAAAAGACCCTTGTTTTAACATTCACATTTTATGAAGCTACGGATTATCACAAAATATTTTAATAAATGAATATGTAATTACTAAATTATGAATGGAACTTGTGCAGTACTAGTGAGAAGAGTTTGGGGCTAAATCATATAAACCCTGTCCATCTGAGATGCATCTTTGAATGAAAATAGAGAAGTGAATACAATGGTTTTATGAAAGTTGTAATTATTTTATATTGTGTTGTTCTTTTTAAGTTTTATCATCTTGATTTCATCCTTTTTAGGTCCAAGTCATCCAACAACCATTGCAGAACCCCACTTACCTGCAGCAATTATACAATACTCAAGGACAACTGTTAATGCCTGGCAACTTGCAGCTTCACCCTGCAGGCATGAACCCATCTTCAATTCATGTGAGTTCCTGATTTTTTGGTAGCATATATATACAATGCACATGCTTTGTTAATAAAATGCTGAATATTTCATTTGCAAGACTGTTAAATATCATTTTGAAACACAGGAAACCAGGCATTATAAAACAAACAAAAATAAAAACAAAACAAACAACAAAAATTTGGGTTGAAAAAGTTTTTGAGGCTGTTTGATATTCATTTCCTATCTATTACATATAGCTTGTGATATCTCATATATCTGCATGAGCAGTTTTATGTTTTATGTTTCTTTCTGCAATATGTATGTGTATGTTATTCTTTTGATTACATTGTCGTCGTCATGTTGTGTGAATTTATGCTCCTGTGATGTCTTTTTCCTCTGAATAGCAAAGCGAAGATATAATCTTCCAACTTTTCCCTCGTAATTTTCATATCTGATTTTTTGTAATTTTTTAATTTTAGAGAAAGGTAATCATATCTAACGTTCTTTTGTAATTGATGTTTTGCTGTTCTCCTAAAATACACATCACTGTGATCTGAAATGTATTTGATTTGAACCTATTTAACTTTTATGAGTTTGCATGAACATTTTATGTTGTACAAATAAATCAGTTGAAAATGATTACGCATGGTGTGAAACTATGGTGGCACTATGATCATTGTAAAATTTGAAATTAAAAATAATTGTGACAACACACATCCTTAAAATTCTTCCAGAGTGACTGCTACCCCTGTTCACAACTTATTCAGCCGATACGTGGGATGCATCATGAAATGGATGATTGCACTGATATGTTTTTGTGTGTCTGATTCTGTTATGACTCTGCTAGTGGTTTTTAACCTGAGTGCTTCGGCACATTGCTCTGACACATCAAGGCAATCAGTAAAATAAGTCATCAGCAATTTTTTGTTATATTTACTATAAGTGTTGCATTACTAAGGAAAAAGCATGTAATGCTTCTGAGCAACATACTTATAATTCATGTAATTTAATAATAATTTTGAATTATATTTCAAACCTATTCCTAATTCTGCAAAGCACCAAGAATTCTAATAAAAGTATAAAAGACAAGAAGAAAAATCAATAAAGTAAAAATTTTAAATTAAATTAGAACCTATTTTAGTGAGTTATATGAAGAATGTCAAGTGATATAAATTCTTTAGAATATTTTGAACTTGGAAACTTCCTGTTCTGAAACGAGCTGGCAAATACTACCCCTAAGAAATGTGCCATGCATTGCAACAGGTTGAAAAGTACTGTTCTATGTGTGCCCTGCTCCCTTTTCCTCAGAGCCTGGGCAGCCTAGCAAGTTTTCAGTTCGCCACGAAAGCTGCAGCTGGTGCGTGTGGCTCCCAGCTGGTCTCTGGTGCAAAGGGGCACACTTTGGTGCCAGCCAACGCAGCTCAGGTTACCGTCACTCACAAAGGCCTCTTGAGACACAACTCACTGCCATTTGCCTGTGATCTGCCTGCTCACTTCTTACTTTCCTCTGTTCTGTCACTGCTTGAGATCCATCCACTGCGTCAGATGGGCTTCCATTGGTGATCATATATTCACACATCTGTATGCCTACTTTCAGCTATATGCTAATCACTCTGTAATTTTTGAAGAGGGTATTACCCCAAATGGCCTTTTGGGGACTCATATTTTTTGTCTTGCAAACATTAATTGGAGTTGCAATGTCTTCTGCATTTCTTCATTAATTCTGTTTTTCATTTGCTTCTTATATGATTAATACAGACACTCTGTGTAAGCAGTCAACAGCAGTAGTTGTTGTCTTACCTGAAGTATCATCTCTCTGCATTGGTCATAGACAGTACTATCATTTCTTTGCAATTTCCTAATGTGTGATACTGTTGTTAAAAAGCAACAGTTAGCCCATGACAAATCCAGCATTGTATTGACTGCTGTATTGTGTATCTTAGTGAATTTTGCTTTCCTTTATGCCTGGGTAAAGTAATATTCAGTTCTTGTAGAAGTTTTTACATGGAAATAAGGGGCTAAGAAGCAAGAAGTTGGTGTCAGCTTGTATTTATACAGTCTGCTGCTGGTATTTATAATTGGTGCTGTAGGAAATGGGAATAACAAGTCGCCATTTTCCAGAGGAAGCTGTCCTTTGTACTGATTGCATTTCTCTGTTACTCATTTGCTGAATTCTGAATTTTTTTAGTATGTAAATTAAAATGAATTCAAAGAAGCTATCTGCTCAGTCTTTAGTTTCTGTGATTGTGGAAATTTCTCTTTAAGAGTTCAAACCAACCAGTGCAGCGGATAGACTTTATTCCTCTGGGCTTTGGCTGTAGCTGCATCCAACGTATTTAACTACCCACTTACTTCATGCTGTGTGTAACATTTTCTTGTTTTATGTGTTTGCTTCTGTCTGCTGGTTACGGGAATTCAAATGAGTTGTAAATAATTGATTAAATATTGCCCTGTATTGTGCATATTACTTTTTTTCCATTGGAGCTTTTATAAGAAAAGCATTATACAAATAACTATTATAAAAGACCACTAACACTTCGCTTCGGAGAAAAGCTGCTTTGTTGTGGTTGAGGTTAATGCATGAAAAGTGTGGCATTGTCTGGGAGAAAGTAAATAATGTTCTGTCATTTTTAAAATAATAACTTTCATTAATATTTAAAACTTTAAGTGAAGTGAATATAAAAATATCTCAAATATTTACAAATAAGTATAATTGATGTAATTTTTTGATGTTTGCCTACATATTTATAGTAAGGAGTATGGTAGAGATGAACTTCCTCCTGTTTATTTCTGTATACTTTTAAATTTCAAAAGAGTTAACGAACTTGAAGATTAAAAAAATGTTAGTGAATTACATGTTCTGAGATCATTAAAACACACAGTCTATTTATTGGAGTTTAATAATGTTGGGTGACTAGTTGTTCCCATTTTCCAAATAATGAATCTTACATTAGTATCTGTTCTGTTTATTGCACAGCATTCAAGCTTCTAATTTACAGTATTTTTTTATTAGGTGATAACTGCAGGCAAGCCCTTCCAGCCCAATCAGCTGCCACCGCAAATGATAACTGCACAAAAATCGGTACTTCAAGGGCAGACAGGTTTGTTCATTATAATCATATACATTACCATTAATATAATTTTTAAGCAAAATTATTGGTACTAGATTTACAGTTCAATAAAGTCAGGCATTGAAAATAAATATACTTCTTCTTTTTGCACATTTGTTTTTATTTTTGACAATCTCTCTGTTGTTTTTTCTTTGCAGCTTCATTCCCTGGTTATGCCACCATTCCTACAACAACAAATCAGACTCTGGTTATTAGTCAGCTAGGTGTGATTAGTAACCAGCCTAATATTTTACCTGCTCATTCTGCGGCTGGTGGGAAGCAATCAGATATGCAAAAGGTATACATTCTTCTTTTATCCATGTTTGAGAATTTTTTTTTCTTTCTTTCTTTAAAATTTTGAATGATATGCTGCACTGGATGTGTGGTATTGTAGGCAAAGTGTTGTATAAATTATTTTAAAATACAGAATTTTCCTACCTATAATTCTTTTTTCTACAACACACTGAAATTAATCATATGAATGAAGTTTCTTGTTATAATTGTTGGATTTTGAAGTAATGGTAAATGCTGTTTGCCTATGCAATGAGCATATTGATTCGGAAACTGCATCAGAAGATAATGTTTTTGAAGTGCGAAATTTCTAAATAATCTTATGTAAATGTATCACCAATAATTGCTGGACTGTGTATGAATAGAAGTTATTAGACCTTCTTTAAAGTGAGCTTTATTAGAAGAGAAAGTAATTAGTCTTGTAAATAATCAGCCACAACTTTTGACAATTTGCAATCATTTTGTAATGAGATAGAAAGAACTGAATTTTAATGTAGTTACAATTCATAATTATAATTATTTTCTTATTGAATTTTTATATCCATTTGGTATTCTGAAGAATCAATTAGAGCTTTCAGAAAAATGTTTTGTTTGTTTCATGAGAAGACACTAACATTTAATATTTAAATGCAGACCCTTATTAAATTCGATATGTTTGGGGGAAGGAAAAAAAACAACAAAAAAACAACAACAGATAACAAGATTTAATAATATTCATGACATTAAATAATTAGATTTGGACGGACCAATAAAGTTGTTTTCTACTTCAAATAAAAAGGGGTTGCGACACTTTGTTTTATATGTAAAGAATTTAATGAGAGAGGATGAGTGGACTAGAAAAACTAGAACGCTTGCTATGAAATTGATTTTGTTGCTGCTTTGGATAGAAATAATTAGATTTTTGACCCCTGTGAATAAGCTGATAATTCAAGAAAATTAAATTTTGCAGGAGAGCAAATAATGACTTTCAGCTGATACTGTACATCAGAAGATTATTACTTACAAAATAAATTATATGCAAATATAGTGTTCTTATAGATCTTTTATTGAATATATTTGCAAATATAGAATTAAGCCCTTCTTCCATCAAGATATGTTTTGTTGACAACTTATTCTCGTAATTATAAAACATTTAATTTTACCAGAAGAAGCTGATAACAAAAGATATCTAGTCATCCTGTGATAATTTCAACCAATATGCTAGTGTTAATAAACATACCAATGACTTTTTTATGTTAATCAATGATGACCAATCATTGTTTTAATGGGAATAATCAGACAACTTGATTTATCATGTTAAGAGTTTCTGATATGAAATTTATGTGATGTTCATAAAAACACCTGCTCATTACTCAGCAATCAGAAGGAATTTTATGTATCTGATTATTCGCAAATGTAGATAATAATTAGGAGAATCCAGTAGTATACTTATCTCATTTTCAGCAAAAAATCGACTTACCAGCATATTCTCCGGGGTCAAAGAGTTACATTCTTGTAAGTTTTATGTTTTTTTAAAACTTTTTTTCAAATGTGTATTAAAAATTAATCATTAATACTTCAAACATACACATTTTTTCACAATAAATAGCAAAAATGAAATGTAAATGCACTGAACAAGTTGAATTGTGTCATCAGTGATGGTCCTGCAGTTGTATTTTTATCTCATCAATTTTTTTATAAATTAAAAGTGTTTTTAAATTTGTGTGATATATTAAAGAGATGTGCATTGGGTCATAAAGCTTCTTTTCCCTGAAATTTTTCAATATCACTCTTCTGTTTAAAAACAATGTAAATAGTTTGTTGGATAGCAGGATCAACATAACTACTATCAATGACTATACCCTCCAAACAGAAAGCAACTTGATTTTCGATATCACGAGTTCTTAAATTTATTTTAGAGAAGGATTAAATGTACCAATAATTTATACATTTATTCTTCTCATGAAATTTCACAAGTTTTGATTGTAACGTAAATTTATCCGTTAAATTATTAAGATATAAAAATAAAATAATAATAATTATTTTTCCATTAATGCATGTTTTTTCTGCCTTGCTGATTTTATTTTCTTGTGGTTTTCCATTGATATACAATTAGTTAAAATAAATATTGTGGGAATTTACTTTGATTTTTGAAAGAAATTAATTAAATGCATAACAGATTGCTTTTAATACTTTGTGTTGCAAATATTCTTATGAGAGATTGCTTATATGCATGAAGAGAGCATGGTGTACATTGTAGTTTATTAATGTAGACTGCAAATTTTGAAAACTCAAATCAGGAATAGAAATACATTTCTTTTTATAAGAGTAGTTGGTAGTTTCTAAATAATTCAAAGGGTTATGATTTCATTTACAAAATGTGTGATTTGTTTGAACTTTAGATTATTAGGTTATTAGATTATTTAGGTTCATTGTTCTGTGTTATTGTTCATGAAACCTAATGCTTTATTTAAAAATTTGCTATTCAGCTTCTCACAGTTCGTTCATAGTTAATACTTTTGAAATTAATCTGAAAGTGGAAATCGGTTGTCTTCAAACCAATGCTTTCAAATTATTTGTTCTGCTTCTATCTGCGGCCTTTTTCTCTTTCATTTTCTAATTCTCCTCTTTTATCTTCTTCTTAACCACCTCCTCCCCTCTCCTTCCTCTTCTTTGCCTCTTTCATCATCTTCCTTTTCTTCCTCTTCTTCCTCCTTTTTCTTCTTTTCCTTCATCTTCTTTTTCTTCTTCTTTTTCTTCTTCTTTTTCATCTTCTTTTTCTTCTTCTTTTTCTTCTTTTTCTTCTTTTTCTTCATCTTCTTTTTCTTCATCTTTTTCTTCTTTTTCTTCATCTTTTTCTTCTTTTTCTTCATCTTCTTTTTCTTCTTCTTTTTCTTCATTTTCATTTCTTTGTTACTGCCCTTTTCTAAATATAAATGAATAGTGTTTTAGTTCTTTTGTTTTAAAAAAAGTAATGTTATTTTGTAGGAAGAATTATAGTTCGTGTATTGTATTTCATAATAATTCAAAATAAAAGCTTGCTAGCTCCATTTCTAAATTTGCCATTAATATTTTTAGTTTCAAATCTAGATAGGATAAGACTCCTGTTCAACTTATTAAAACCCTGTCTACAAGAAATGTTGATTAACATTTTTAATGTTTTATCTTTTATTTATGTAAAAAGAAAATTTTGTTGCTATTTTGTGGGGGTTCCTTAAACACGTATGCTGCTTTGACTGAGTTGTGATGTGTGCCTGCTCCTCCCTTGCATGTGGCGATGCAGGTGATGGGGGCAAAGAATATAAGTGGGAACGGACAAGCCCTGAAAGGTGCAGGGAACTCGGGCCAGCAGGTATGCTCCTCATCAGGGTTTGTGGTGTCGCAACCCCAGCAGCTGGTGACCACTCAGGCGCCCACCACTGCTGTGCTGGGCCATGGCCAGGCGCAGTTTCTTAGCCCAATCCAGGTGTGTGTGCTTATTTAATAAAGAGACACGCGGAAGTACACAGTGGGCTTGTGGCTTTGGAGAGTAAATATCTCTAATTCAAAGAATGTGTCACAGTAAGCTTTTTTGCCTTCAAATATATTGTGACACAGTAATATGGTCTGTAAAACCTAATAATCTTTGTACATTAATCTCTTGAGTGAAAATGTTTCACTTTTAGTACTACTGTTTGTTCTAAAATGAGAAAAATGAAAAAATGATGGAGAATGAAGGAAAATGTTGAAGTTGGATTCATCATTTTTACTTTAACTGGTCAAGTAGATTCTCTAAATCTTGAAAATTGATTACATTAAAAAAAAAAATACATTGATAAATTGCTTATAAGCGTTAAATGGATATTTTTTCTCTTGAAGATTGTCTAATGTAATGGTAGTTAATTAACATGATTTCTTTTTCTTAAGAAATTAATTTATTCTAAAAGTGGTATTTTGATAGTGTAATAAACAATTTTGATAAAATAAACCTAATGAAATAATAATAATAATAATAATAATAATAATAATAATAATAATAATAATAACAATAACAATAATAACAACAACATTGATTATCATTTGTTAATTCATATTTTTATTTATAATTTTGTTATATATTTTGGATAAAAAGAAATTGCTGTTAGATATCCAAAGCAAGAGTTACTAACAAATAATTTACTTTTAAAAACTTGTTTTTTATCAAGATAAAATTGATCAAATTAAAATAATATTTAGATGTAATGGAATTTAAAAATGGGGTAAACCTTTTTATTTTCCATCCATATATTTCTATTCATGGATTTATTCTTTCTTAAATTATTGTGGGGGAATTACAGGGTTCATGTAAGGAAAACCTTGTTCATGAGAAATACTGCAATACAATATTTGTTTTCAAAAATGTTAATGATGTCAGTTAGCTTCTTTTATAATTTATTATTTTTCTCCTATAAAATTAATAGATGCTAAAATTTGTAGATAACTTTAATATAATTATTTTCACATAATATCACGTGAAACAGAACTTGCTAATGCACATAACTTACACTAAAAAAAATTTACAATGTAAACTTAAATAGTTAATGATATTTTAATTGTGTGGTTTTTTAGGGAACTCAGCCTATGCAGTTCTCACCATGGCAATTTGCAGGAGCGTCTTTGCCTCAGGGTATTGCGTGGACTACTCCAGGCACTCTGCAGCCATCTGCTGCGTTGCTTACAACTCAGAATCCTATTTTCATTCGAGGGCAGCAAGATGGCACTGGAATGTTTATTCAAAGTCCACCTCCTCAATTGCAGTCTCATAATTGTAAGTTACATGCTTAACTTTAAAAAGAGAGCCATGTGTATTCAGACTATTTGACCACAATATTTTCAATTACAAGAAAATGTATCCATATTTAAATTTTATCCAAATCACACTTGCATGTATGCTAACACACACAAAATGCTTTATGGAATATTTGTCATTACATTTTTTATGACAATCTTTTCAATCGCCAAATATTTTTAACCATTCTTTGAACAGTTTGGAATGAGTTCTCAGTAACTAGAATGATAACTTAAAATGGATTAAAAAGAAAATTGTTTGTGAGCGATTTACACTATTTTAGTAATTTTCCCTGCTATCTGAACATTTGTTTCATAAGAGTTGATTGCAATTACTTGACAATTACATCTCACATTTTCAGCATTGAGGTTTGTGACTGAAGTGACATGATGTTTAAGTTAATAATTGTTTTGTTTTTTTAATTATCCAAGTTACAGAACTGATGAACTAAATGTGAAAATAGGAATGAATTATGATCCATTTTGATTATGAGTGCCTGTTAGAAATTTTTTTTCAAACTTAATTAATCTCTAAGATTTATTTTCAATTATGAATTTCTTTAAATTAAATTGCCCTGGTTTTCAATAATTCTCATAATATAATTTCATGATTACTTCAGTTGTGTATTCAATATTGATAATTTGGTTACTGCATTACAGCAGCTACATTGGCCGCTCCAGCTGCGATGCCTGGTGTCCAGCAGATGGCAGGGAAGCCTCGGCAGACTGTGGAAATGGCTCCCAACATACAGCCAAAGACAGTGTCCCGAACCCTATCCAACATTTTGCCTTCAGTGGTGGGTGCATCTAACATCCGGCCAGCTAGTTCAGTGTCTACACAGACTGGCGGATCTGCACCAATGAATGCTGTCCAGGTGCAGACCCAGAAAGCTCAGGTAGTCAGTGGGTTGTTGCAGTTGTGGCTCTTCTTTGCAAAACAATGTTTCAAAGTCCTTGAAGAAGAGCTAGCGGTTTTGGAAAATATTTTGGAGAAAATATCTTGTGCTGAAATGCTGCATAACTGTTATTGCAGTATAAACAAAAAATTAAACATACCACGGTTACTGAAGATGTCTTATAAAAAATTTGGCACGTTTTTATTTGCGTTTTCCAAATTTTTCTTCAAAATGTAATTGTCTGGCTTTTAGGATTACTGTTTAATTTTAATTGAATGTTCATTTCCAAAACTAAAAAAATGTGTTTTAATAATTGGGAATTTCATTTTCTGTGTGAATATTGTATTGTTTTAAATAATGTTATGAAAGGAGAATGCAGTTGCTAAAAGCTTGTTTCTCCCCATTTATAAGGCAGAAATGATTGGATTAAGAGTACTTTCATACTTATGGGATGCACCACTCTTTGTTGCACCTGGTACATCTTGTACATAATTCAGAAATTCAAAAGAAGGAACATGTACAAGAGATAAGAATAAACTTTAATGGTTCTTGGACTTCTTAATGCCACATTAAATGTAAATTATGTGCTGTTTACACCCACTGATCTACAAAGCAAATGCCAGGTGTTTCTGAGAAAAGCTGTGATTTTTGAGTGGATTTAGTTTTTACATGCTTGGATTGTTTTTTAAATTTTCCATTACAAAACTGCTTTACTTCTGGCCAATTCTATAATTTAGTTATCCTCTAAATATTGAGATTTTTTGTGACAATTTGCAAGGGAGTGGCAAGGACTTCATAGATTGAAGTGCTTGTGTGGTGTGTCAGCAGGCTAAGGTACGTGTGAAGCCAGCTCCAAATCGCACCTCTCCAGCTCCTGGAGGAGGAGGAGCACAGAAAGCAGATGCAGCCAATCAGACTAAGCCACAAACGTTGAGCCCTGCTGGGCAGACACAGATGTCAGGATCAAAGTGAGTGTTATTGCCATTTCCCATAATTAAATAATTAAATTCATTTACTTAGATGTTCTTTATTGAAGTTTAGATAAATTCTGTACTACATCACAATCCAAAGAAAATATTTTTTTAGAGTACTCTGATTTTAAATGAATATCAAAAGAAAAAATTTCATGTGCTATCAGCTGCTGTTTGCTAAAAATTCAGAACATTTTGCCATATACGTATGTATATACAGAGTAATATACATGGTAGAGAAAGTCATGTAATACTGCAGAAAATCGATTCCAGATTTCAACAGAAATACACGTTTTGGGGTTTCCTTATACCGAAAAAGAGGTCTTTTTCAAAACATTCTGTTTGGTACACTACTAGCACCTAAACCATGCAAAGGAATTTTTCCAAATACAAGAAATCCATGTCAATCTGGCTCGAGTCAAACCTTTGAAATTTTGAAAAAAAAAAAATCTTTAAAGTTTGAGGGTACTTTACATGAAGTACCTCAGACTTTTTCAAAATTTTCTCAAAATCAGCTCCCAATTTTTTCTTTAAATTACTTATAAGAATAGAATAAAATAGACTTATAAAGATGACATAGGTCCAATTTTCAGGTTTAACAAAATTTGTTGGACGTCTTCCTACAACTACAAAATTGATGATAGAGATTTTTCCTTTAAATAAAATTGTTCTCCATAGCGAGTTCTTTCATTAAAGTCATGTACTTTTTTTTTTTGTTGAAAATATTAGTAGTTTTCACACAATATTGCCTGCAATAGGTGCAATTTAAAAAAATTACAAAAACAAGATTTTCTCAAAAATGGCTCCAAATTTTTTCTTTAAACTTTTGGTAGGGTAGTGCTAAATGTACTCTATAAGATGACATAAACTTCATATTTCTCTCTCTCTCTCTCTCTCTTTTTTTTCTCCTTCAGAAATTACAAAGATGTAATTTTTTTGACTTGCTTCTCATGTTGTTAATATTTATATTGCAGTTTGCTCACATTATTGTATTTATGAGTATATGTGCTACAAAAAATGTCATAAAGTTTCTCGAAAACTCCATTTTCTGTGAAAACTTGCTGAAAACTCCGTGTTCTCAAAAACCGCTCCAAATTTTTCTTCAAATTTTCAAGTGGATAGCAGTACTTTATTCTTTAATATGACGTAAAATTAATTTCGGTGTATTTTTTTGTTTCTTCAAGAATTACACGTATGTACATTTTTTAAAAGATCTCTCACAACTTTGATATACCCATTTTTAGCAATTTGTAAACACATTGTATTTGTGATTTTCAGTACTTAAAATGATTTCAAATTAAGTTTTTCAAAAACTCAAAAATTTTCTGTGAAAAAGCTTGAAATTTTGAATTTACAGTAGTGTTTAAACACCAGTTTTTTAAGACGGCTCCAAATTTTTTAAAGATAATTGCATTTAGAAGGAGGTTTTATATTTCCACACTATTATTACAAAACCAAAAAATTAAGAAAATGTCAAAAAAATGTACTTTGGGCAGCGATAGATGGCAGCAGGCAAGAATATGTGGTAAATTTGAATAGGTAACGAGACCAAAGGAAATATAAAACTAATATGAGAAAGTCTGTGTCATTCTGTGGCACCACTAGTTTAAAATTTATGTATTGTGACTAGTGAAATTGTTGTTTGCGCACATGTATTTTATGGTTATAGTTATATTAAATGGTTATTATTATATGAATATAATGAAAATATTTTTGTAAATCGATATTAAAACAAAAGTATAGATGAAATTCAATTTTCAGCATTCTAATAAAAAAGGCTTGGATTGTTGATTCTAGATAAAAAATGTGCTTAACATGGCACAAATGTTTGAAAGGTCAGAGCAAAAACTAAAAGACAAAAACTCATAACTTAACCTATTGACTTCTGCTGTGTACATAAATATGATAATTTGACTCTAAATTCATAGGTCAAAAAAAAATATTGGGTTCTACAACAATTTATGCAAATGTATAATGAACTCTGTAAATTTATTTCAGAGTTTTTGCTGTAATGTTCAATGTGTAATTAAATCATAAGAGGTTTTAAATGTGAGTGAAGGGCAAAAATAGATTTTATTTTTTTAACTATGGATGAATAATCAAAAAAAGAAAAAAAAAGACAGGAAGTTTCAAGTTAATGTTAAGTTGATAAAAACCCACACATTTTTGGGTGTAGAGGGGTGGGGTGGGGTCTAAGGAACCTTTCAAAAATATTATTTTTATGTATAACTATCCATATGTCATTTGATTTTAGGGAACTTTTTAGCATCTTATTTGGGGGAACCCTTCATTTAAGTAATCAATCTTTATTGATTTCTCAAAGTCATTGTAGGTTACATTTATGCATGATGTGGACCCCTAATGTGCATATGTTGATAAAGCATAACTATGAAGTCAGACAGGAGGAGTCTCAACTCTCGGGGTGAGGGGTACGTATGAAGAGCATTGGCAGCTAATTGGACTCGCTTAGCTTCGCCGACATCACAAGGTCATCGGAAGGATCTTTTAAGACATTTTCAGCTAAAGGCCGCAAAGGTCATGGCCATCTACATTTAGTTACACACATTAAAATGTAGATGGCATCAGTCAAGTCCATATGCACGTACAAATGCATGTCGTTATTTGCTGAAAAAAATATTTATAAGTTCCTTGATTAATTGTGTGATGTTGCTGCAAATAAGAAAGTCCAACTAGCTACTGAATGTTTTCATACAAGTCCCCACCATGTCTCCAACACCAGAGTGCCTTCAACATGCTCCTTCTTACTGACTTATTGCATAACCCTTTTTTTGTACTCGAGAAATTTAAATTACTTTATTTAATTTTTCAATATTGTTTTTGTTTCTTATTTTTAGCAGGATTATTCAGACAAGTACAAGTTCAACTACTACTGGAACAACAATGACAGGATCAGCATCACCAGTGTCAGCGGAGAAGGGCCAGCAGACTCTTCTAGGTTCAGGACAGACTAATAATGCAGCTACAAAAGTAATGCAGCAGGCTCATCAACAAACAACTCAACAACAAGTGAACCAGCAAGCTCAGCATGCCCTTGCACAGCAGCAGATTCAACAGATCAGCCTTCAGCAGCAGGTGCAAGCTCAACAGCAAGTACAGGCCCAAGTACAACATGCTGTTCAGCTGCAGCAGATGGCCCATTTCCAGCAGACTCAACAACAGCAGCAGCAGCAACAGGCCCAGCAGCAACTACAGCAGGCCCAGCAACAACAGGCCCAGCAACAGGCCCAGCAACAGGCTCAGCAACAGGCTCAGCAACAGGCTCAGCAACAGGCCCAGCAACAGGCCCAGCAACAGGCCCAGCAACAGGCTCAACAACAGGCTCAACAACAGGCTCAACAACAGGCTCAACAACAGGCTCAGCAACAGGCTCAGCAACAAGCGCAGCAACAGGCCCAGCAACATCAACAGGCTCAGCAGCAACAACAGGCCCAGCAGCAGCAGCAGCAACAACAACAGGCCCAGCAGCAACAGCAACAACAACAACCACAGATCCAGCAGCAATCACAAGCACAGGTGCAGCCACAACCTCAGCAACAGCTGCAACCCCAATCTCAAGCCAGCCAGCAAACTTCTGCATCACAGCAGCCAGCACAACAGCAGCAGGCTGCTCCTGCTCCAGCCCAGACCCAGCAGCCTCAGCCACTACCCCAGCCAGTGCAGCAGTCACAACATCCACAGTCGCCCATGCAATCCCCCTCTCCTCAGCAACCGAAGCCTTCTGTTGGTATGCTACACAGACTTCAATTTCAAATATGATTATTAGAGTGTGATGTTTGACAAAATGCTTTTTTTTCTTATTATTATTGTTATGATTTTATGACTTAACCATGGAAAACACTTAACTATAAATTTGAAGTTGCTTTAGAAGAGTTTCATTTTGGCTTTCTTTTGCCTGTTTTTAATACTTTTTGTCTTATTTTAACCTTTTTCTTTCTTTTATGTCATTGTGTTCCTTTTGTTTACTGCCACTGACCTTGATAAAGCTAGAAACTTGCGTGCAAGCCTGCACAAATGAAGGCAGTTGCATTTTGTCTTTCTGTGCAAAGGCACAGTAATAGGCAAGAAGGGGTGAATTTGGGCTCCAGGGCCAGAAAGTGTTGAAAATCACACAAGGAATTGATATGATACCACACAAGAATTTTGGATTTCTTTCATTGATGCAGGTCTTTGTTCACTCATGAGTAATCCCATTCTAACTTTGTGTATGACCTCCATTCCCTTTGGAGAACAGAAGGCTTTGGACATGACACAACAGTTTTTCTCAGTGTTGGCAATTATTCAAATTTGGAGATTGAAAACAATATCGGCATTTTCAGTGATGTCATTCCAGCATTTGAAAGAAAAAAAATTAATTCATAATAGCAATTCTTAGTCAGTCAGGTGTAGCAAATCCATAGTTATCATAACAATCATATGCAATCAAGAAAACTAAGAAAATATCTTTTCCATCATGCAAGTGCTAATATAAATTTAAGAGTTAGTATAATACTTTAAATAATTTTAATTATTATGAATTTTTAACAATGAATCCTTTTTAATGATAATTTTTAATTGTTTACATGCCTTTTGCAACCTTATTTTAGCGAGGATACACGACTTGTTGCATGCTTATTTTAATAAAAATAAATGTCTGAACTTCAGACTGTGATGATGATGATGATGATGATGATGATGTTGATGATAATTATTTGATAAACCTGGACACAATAAGAAACAATTTCTACAAGAATAACAATATTAAAACATCTCCGGTCGCTTTCATTTTCAGACAAATAGGCATTTTTATATGGTGTAAATGTGAATTGTAACATTGTATAGTTATTAAACATGTTTATAATTAATTTTGAGAGTCAACATAAAAATAACAAATTAGGCATTTGCATAGATTTGAAATGTACTTTACAGAGAAATAGCAATAATATTATGATTCCAAAATGATTTATATTATTACTACTTTATTTATAAATTAATTGCAAAATCACAAGTAACCTTGTGTGGAATACTGAGATTGCACTTTTTCTTGGAATGTCAAAACTCTAATGGAATTCTGCTACAATGTATTTTATTTTTAAATGATTTTGTCATATTGCCTAAAGCGTCCAGTTTATTGCTATTTGTCATTGACATCAATACCAGACTTGATTTAGATTAAAATCTGTTCAATGGTGGAAAACAACAACATTTAATTATATATTAACATGAAATCTGTAATTGAAAGTATCTGTAAGAACTAATTGGAGCCTCTTTTTATATTGTGTGCAGGCATAGCAACTACTATGCAGCCTCAAGAAACGCAGAACGGACAGCCCTCTCAGCCTCCAGCAGCAGCTGCAGTGACTGAGAGAAGTGGAGTGCCAGTGGGTGCAGTGTCCCCTGCTCCAGTGGCAGCTGCTGCCCTGAGCATGCAGCCCTGCGTGGCTTCGTTGCCAGGACAAGCACCTACCCTCATGGTCGCTCCTCCAGTGACGGGGCTAGTTTCTCCTCTCGTTGGAGCTGTAATGGGTTCTGTGACAATGGCTACGGCACAAGGCACTCAGACATCGAAAGATGATACAGTGAATAGTGGCAGTGCTGCAAGTACACCTGTGAAAAGCGAAGAAGCTACACAAGTGGTTCCGACACAGACATCTACTACTCCTAGTGCAAACTCCAATACACCTACAGAGCAAGGAACATCAGTGGCTGAGGAAGCAGAAACGCCTATGGAAACTGATGGTGAGTCTCCTTTCAAATCAAGTGTTAGAGAGCGTACTAGTGTGGGAAATAATGTATTGTCTTTGCTTATTTACGTAATTTATTGGTGCTAGAATATTCTGTCCAGCAGCATACATTTGTGAATTCTGTTAGTCATTAATGCAGAAATGATAATGAAATGGATACCACAGAAAAACTTTCTAATTCTAGGGAAGCATCATTTGGGATTTTTTTATTTAGAGTTCTTTAAAAAGATTTGTATTTTTCCAAAAACTATAATAAACATTCCATATTACTCTTAACACATAATTAACGTACAACAAATAATTTTGTTTTCTGTTTTACATTTTATTTTACAAAACATATTAGTTATTTCTGGAAAATAACTAATATAGTTACTACATTTTTGTGCTTTTAGATTGTTCAGTACAGGTCATCCAATATTACAAAAAGCATTCCTATTTTTGCTGGAATTGAGGGATATAATTAAATAGAACTCTTAATATACTGAAGGCACGATTGGCTTCAGTTATATTTGGGCATTTGTTGGTTCTCAAACAGGCTACTATAGATGAAGTTGTCATCTTGTGAGGATTCAAAAGCAGTTGTATCAGATTCCATTATTTGCAGCACTGGCCCCTATTTTAATCACTTGTTTAGCATAAACCATTTGTGGATTACTTGCAAAATGCGGAGAAAGAAACAAAAATGTATGATATTTTGATTATCTTGCTTTGCTAGATACTTACTCACTTCACTCTTTATGCTTTCATTCTTCCACTAACACTATTTGGAAAGTGTTTATTCAAGATGGCATTGCTTCCCTCATGCCAGATCACAATCACAAAATGTAATTTTAATTACTCTCGCAGATAAACATATAACTGTAATTGTCTTGCACAAACAAATGTACTGTAAAGTTACTTATTTATTGTGAATTAGGGGAGACTGAAAACGTAATGTTAGCTAACTAGAAGGCTAAAGTTCACTTTGTAAAAGGAAAAACATCCTCAACTTAATAGGGTAATGGCAGGACCATATGATGTTGATTATTTTAAAAAAATTTTCTTAATAATTATTAGAGAGTTAACTGTATTCAGTCGAAAACAATGTTTGAGTGTTTTTTTTTTTTGTTTGTTTTTTGTATTGTTCCTAGTTTTTAATTGCAGGAAAATACATTATTGCAAAGGAGAATGAAAAGCTAGTTATTTATTAAGTGTTCAATGCTAATGTTAAAAGTTTTTTTATATAGGAACTGACGTTTGTACCAATGGCAGATAGAATATTGCATGTTTTTAAATTTCTTGCAAATCTTTGTCACATATAATAAGTGCAAAGCAGTTTTAATAAAATAATGAAGTTATAAATAATTGTTATAAAAGTAATTATAAATAAAGAAGATAAAGTTAAAATAATATCTGTAAAGAGATAGTTGGGTAAAAACATAATTCTTTCTTTTTCATGTCCTTGATGATCAGTAAACTAAAATTCACAAAACCATTTCACTCCACCACCACATTGCCACTGCGTCACCACCACCGCTTTGAGACATAAAAGATTTGCTTTCTCAATAATAGGTGTTAGTTAGGGGCAACATTTTTACTTTGTAGAAAAGTTTGTTTGTTTGTTTATAGAAAAATATTTTAATAAATGTGTTTTTTAAGCAGCTTCACCACCAACACCCCAGAAAGAAGAGACCAAACCAGTGAATGGAGAGGTTATGGTAAATGGCATTGATGAGACCAAAGAGAAGGACAAAGGTCCACCTAAAGCCATGGTGAAACCTCAAGTGTTGACACATGTTATTGAAGGCTTTGTTATTCAAGAAGGTAACCATTGCTTTGGTACGCTATTGAAAAACATTTTCTTGCATGATATTCATTATTAATACTGTAACATGAGAAAGAAAGAGATGAAGGTACATTTTTTGAGGAAATGGTTTCATTTCAGCTTGAGAGGTTTATGCCAAATATCTTTCATGTTATTTTATGACTCAATGAAACTGGCCCTATAGTAATGTAGTTGACTAAATCATTAAATAAAAATTACTGTTAATTATTAATTAATACATTTCATTTATTTTTAAGTTTCTTTTTAATTAAAAGTGCATATCAGTGTTGTTGAAAAGACAACTGAATTGCATATGGTTACTTATATGAACTGATATTAGTTTATTTTTTCTTTCTTCAAACATCTGTGATTAGTCTGATCTGTGACTCCTATGCCCATAAAATACAATACTACTTCATATTATTTCAGAGAATAAGTTTTTTGAGTGTAAATTTACCTTTGATTCACTTGATATTTGTTTTTAAGTTTATCTCTCTTATTTGGGTAAAGCTTAGAACGTATTATTTTTTAGCTTCACTTTCAACTATACAAAGGATGATAAATTCTTATGGCGTCAGATAGGAAGAGTCAGAACATTAAAGAATTGGAAGCATGCTATTCTTCAAATACTGTACTGTCATTAATTCCTTGCAGTACTTAAACTCATAAGGAATTTTTTTTCAACAGCCTCGGAGCCATTTCCTGTTAGTCGCTCTTCATTGTTAAATGATATTGTACCCTCTGCCAAATCAGGTCAAGATAAAGAAAACATCCATACTGATTGTGATGAACCTCCAAGTAAGATTCTGTTTTGCATTTTATTTATATGTTTCTGTTTGTGGTATGGAGATATGAGATCAATTTTTTCACAGGTGAAGTTCTTAATGCGAATTTGCTTTTTCAGAGAAAAAAGTGGCTATGTCTGATAGTCAAACTAATGTGATGATGGGTCCAAAAGGAGAATTAGCAAAATGTGAATTTTGTGGGAAGATCGATTTAAGAAGCAAATTCAAGAAAGCAAAGCGTTTCTGTTCTATGAGCTGTGCAAAGAGGTAAATTATGGAAAGTAGTTTAAATTAATGCACAGTCACTGTATCAAAGTTTCTTCTCAAAGCCATGGGCCCAAGGGTCCAAGAAGAAAAACGTGTAAATTGTGAGACCTTACTTTTGCATGTATAATAAAATACAGAAAATGAATACTCAACTTTAATTAATCATATTAACCTTTGAGGAATAATTGTTGGGCTTCTTAGGCTTATCACTTCAAAACACGCTAATTCTACCATTTTCTAATTTTTTTATACAAAGGTTCATTCTTATTGAAATTTTTTATGATCAAATAAACAAAAACTTTATACAAATGCTGCTACAACATTGCATAAATTACTCTGAAACATGTGGGAAATGTTGCCAAGTATTTTGTCAGAAGTACCAATCATTCATACTAATATTTCTGATGCCTGATACTAGTAGACATCTAAAAATTTTAATCTCATTGTTGGAAGTCATATATTGAATCTTTATTAAGGCAATTTATTTTGCAGTTTTTTATGTTACCTGCGGATTTGGTAGATATTATTCAAGACATCACCGATTCATAGAAAATTATTTTTTTTCATTACATCAAATTTTTCATACCTTTTCTTTACTTTTTACTTTTTCTTAATTGTCTTCTTTCATTATCTTCTAGATCATACTATTTTCACTGGGAGAGATGGCTCAGGGCATTCATTGAAGTCCGTCTAACCAGGAGGTCCGAGGTTCGAGTCCCATTGATGGCAGGATTTTCGGCTCTAGCTTGTCAGCTAGGTCAAATTCAGTAGCTGTCTGGAGGAGAATTCTAGCTGCCGGTTGCTCTGTTCAGTAGTTTTCCATGGTTTCTTCGATCAATATTAGGTGCATGCCAATAGCAGTACACTAACAAACGGACCATGGACCATGTGCAATCTTACCTTTCTCATCCTTGTCCTATCCTCACCCTTTACACACACACACACCACACACACACACTTACAGTTACATGCACTACACAGGCTGGGAGACCTGTCGGGAGCTTAGAGGTTGTCCTGGCTGGGGTGGTGCTCCACTGGTGGGAGATACCTGGTTGTGGAAAACCTCACTAGCCAATGGTAGGTCGGCACCAGATCTGGCCTCACAGTGAAGGAAAGGCCAACGCCACCTCCCAAGCAAAAAAAATCATGCACTACACTTATGGGGCTAATGACCTCAGTAGTTGACATGCCCGGAATCGCTAACAATCAATCAACCAATATTATTATCATCTACTTATATTATCTTTCGATAAAATATAACCAAGCACTTGAGCTGAAAATTGTGTTTATGAATGCTTTATTACAATTGACTATGATCTTTTGTGTTCACTAATGCTGGCACTAAATCACTAATGTGGTACAATTTTGTTTGCAGCAAACGTGTTGGATTTTTCAAGCCAGTTGTAGATACCAATGATGTGAAAAACAAGAAAAACACCATTCCTCAAGATGGCAAGGAGTCATTTCAAAAGTCACCTTCAAAGAATCAAGACTGGGTATGTTTCCTGCAGAAAAACTGATAAAACCAATTCTCTTAATATTACCATTACAAATGAATGGGAATGAAAAATATTTATCTTTTTCATTTTAGAATCAAGCACCTCCTGAAGCAGTGACTGGTACAGATGAAAACACAGATACAAACGACTCTGCTGCTTCTGGTCCTGAAAGTTCTATGTCACCATCAGAAGCTCCAGAGATGCCTGCTGTTGACATGGAAGATAGTTCAGCCTCAGACTCTGCTGCTCCTCAACCTGTTCAACGAATAAATCCCCTTAAATGGACGGTATGTATCCTAAGAATAATTTCTTACTGAAAGGTATTGATTGAATTTAGTTGGGTATTGATTGAATTTGTCTTAGTGGGTCATCGTTTGTATACACATCACTAAATTGGAATATAATTGTAGTCCCTTCATAAAATTTTATTAGATAATTACCTCTGTTAATTATACATTTCTTCTCTAAAATGTTTAAAAGGTAATATTTCAGTTATTTTGCTTAGTCATTACTGCATCTTTCAATTACCAGATACCTGATCTCTGCTTGCTTTATTCTCTCTTGAGGCCTATAGTTTATGCAATTTTTTGGGAGTTTATTCTTTGTCACTCTGTGAATGAGTTTTCCTTTTTTTGAGAAGTTGTGTTGTATTGTGTAGTTGTCATTTTCTTTGTTCTACGTTTAATTTTTCCCCCCTAATTGCTAGCAATAGTTGACAAACTCATTTGTGCAACCTCGCGAGTTCGAATTGTGTTTGCATTTAGCATCAATATCTTGTTACTTGTTTCTTGATTAGATTTTAAGTTTTCATTTATTGCTCTTTCTAAATTTAGAAATTCCCTATTGATCTACTGAGGATCATTTTCTTTCTACTATTTTCTTTGAGGTTTACCCAAAATTCGCTCAGTTGCTTGATGTTGCCTACCTTTTGTCAGTCTACATTTTGTGCGATTTTGATTTTGCCTTTACCTGGAAGCCTCTAGCAACATACTTGGCAATCCTCATGGTTCAACTAATACAATTTAATTATTGGCACGCAATATTATGATCAGATTATATTTTATTCTAGTTTTCTTCATTTCCATTCGCTTTTTAATTCACCTTTGAAAATAAACATTTAAAGGTTAAAGATAGAGAAGGCAAGTCTGATTCCCTTATTTATTTTGTGTGATTATTCATTCCCATTTTGTGTTCTAAAAGGGGTTTTCATCTGTCTAGTTTGTGTTTCATCTGGTCTGTGTCTCATCTGGGATCCAACAAATTTTAACCAATGAGGGGTTAAGAAAAAGATAATTTTCTCTGTGGTATGACAAATCGTGTTTTTCCTTCAAATATTAAGAATTTTTTGAAAAAACATCTGATTTGGGCAGGTCCATGAGCAATCTTCAAACTACTGCTTAGTAGATTGTTTCTTTACATTAATTGTCCACAACTCAAAAATGATGAATCCTAAGAACATATAACTTGGTTTTCAAAGCTGAAGTCTTTTGAGTTAGATTCCCCATGCTGTAATCTACAAAATGAGAACTTTTGAGACCTTCAATTACTTTTTGGGTAATTGTATTACAAGATTTCCTTGTTTCACTTGAACATATCCACAGTTTTACTTGGTTTTTAAGATTTTTAATAAGATATATAAAGTATTTTTTGTTATTGATGTTGGTAAATGCACACTTAGCTTCTTAGCAACCAACCATCTATACAATGCTTCAAGAGCGTGTCCATAGCAATGGCCATTAAAATGCTCGAGTCCATTAAAAAAAATTTAGGAGACTTTTGGGTTTAGATTTTATCAGTGCTCTTAAATCTTGGCATAATATGACTTTGGCACAAAACATAATTTTTTGGGGGAAAATGTAAACAAAATTTATTTTTTAAATTATTTTGGTACAGATATATTAAAAGTAGTATCTAACATAATCTTTGTTAATGCTTTGAACATTCCTTTTTGTTCCCCCTATGACAAAATAAATCATAAGCTTTCTCAAAAGTGATTACAGATTTAAAAGGCATGAAACTAAAGCTTGCAGTTTCTGCTTCCTCCAGAATATCATTGGCATGACAATATCTTCTGATTCTTCCAAATTTCCAGACATTTTTTCCCAATCAGCTTGCATTCGCAGAAAAAAGCATTCAACTGTTTGATCACTAACAAAGCATCCAGTACCACCAACCCTTCCTACAGAAAATCAAGAGTAATGACAATTTTTAACTCATGAACGTGATTAAAGTTTATTTTGAATAAGCGATAAACTAGAAAAAACAAAAAACATTGTATGTAACTCATCCTTTATTAGTCTCTAAAAATGTCAGAAGGTTAAATACAGCTTCGTTATCACTCTGCCTCGCAGTTAAACTTCCAGCTTCATTCTTAAAGACGCATTAAGAGGACTCATGATATAAAAAACTATTATTTCATCAAATAGTTTCAATATTATTTTTTAATATTATAAATTTGTTCAATTTAAAAATAGATACTTTGGACTTTGATACAACTTTATAGTGTCTATAACTTTAATCTCCAAATTGTTGTAAAGTTCCTAAGTTAATGTGTTTTAAAGTGCCAACAATTGGTTACATGAGCAATTTTTCCTATAGTAGAACCATTAGACCTTGGGTACATATGCCCCCTTCAACTTTGGTACGGACCAATGACGATTTGCTTTATACTGGACTTCCATGGTCACCATAGACCTCAAGCAGCATAGTATAATTTTGGAAGTAGTTTTGAATAATGGGTAAAGCACTAATAAAATACTTCATTTCATATTCTTCCACAATGTTTGTCAAATCAAGGGCTGATCAAGAGACGAATTTTGGGAGGAGACATTTTTCATTGAAAATGGTTTGGTTGTATGTGTTATATTACAAATTGTGTAGAATGACGCTAAACACAACTCATGATGGGATACAATTTTATTTCATATAAAGTTTATATGAAAATATTTTCTTTGAAAGTTTCATGACAAGTTAAAATTAATGTTACTGAAACATTTTGGGATGGGGAATTTCTCTCGTTTCCCTCCCTGTGGATTCGTACATTGTTGATACCTTATTAAATAGATAATGCAAGTTCAGCAAAATAAGAAGAAAATATGGGAAGTCCAAATTTAAATTCTATACTCCCTATTATAGGTGGGCTTAAAGCTAACTGAAAATACTCGAAAAAAATAGAACTAGTTGTAAATGATATAAAAACTATTAAAAATCCTGTTAATATTTATGAGAATCTATTGAGTTTCTCCCAATGTAGTCCCACTATTATTTATTGCAATTCAAATTCATGGATGATTCAGACCATATGAACATTAAAGTGATGCTATTTAGTATGTGATTTATTGATCTTCACAAATGTTTTTTTAATTTTCAAAAATTTAATATTATTTGTCTTCTGAAGTATAGAAAGATAATTTCAGAGTTAAATTTCCAGATTCCCTATTAATGGAGATCGTTTGGTTTAAATGCTTATATACTATATTTGCTCAACATATGTTTCAGTGGGATGAGGAAAAGTAATGTAGGTTTACTTTCAGCCAATAGTTCGTCACTTATGTGGGAATTCATAACATGACTGCTTGCTTGCTGGAGTCAATCCAACACATGCATTTAGCAGTTTTCTTTCATAATATACATTGTTGACTTATTTTCGACCTATAGATGTATTATACTATATTTGAATGTAAATTTGATTGTTTTACACTGCATAAACATAAATCTTCATAAATAATATTTGAAGTATTTGAAAAACGCATTTCCACAAAAGGTAATATTTTAAAAATTTAATTAGAATCTTCTAATTCAAAGCAATAACTTTCATTGATATTTAATTGACCTTTACATGTTAACTTTCTCCACTTGCAGCATGTAAATGTGGTATTACAAATTTTCTTTTACCATATGGATTACTTATGCCCTTTGTTATTTTTGGCTCTCCATTTTTGTCAATTTCAGTTTTATGATCTTTATTTTAATAACATATTTTTATAAAAGAAGTGACATCTGTTAAAGAATTTTCTTCAGGAAGTCAACATTTAACACAAGAACAACATTTAAAACCACCTCAGATTACAGCAAAAAGTTAAAAACCAAGTATGTCAGAATACTGCTCTATTTTTGGATACCAGTGCTCAAATTTTGGATACTGTCAAATCAACATGATCTTGCGGTGGTAATTGCAACACTGTGAATATCTAAACGACCAAAATGAGAAGGCTATTGATATACTTCTCGGAGATCATTAAAGAAATAGCTACTTGGCGTTTCTTTCTAGAAAATGAATATTAATTTCTTAGCCAAAGAAGAAACTACTCTTTGACTCTGTCCAGCAGTGTCTCTAAGAGGGTGTAAAAAGATTATATAGAAGAAACTGAAAACTTTTATTTTGTCTCCTCAGCTATTGAAATCGCATTTGTTATTTGAATCATATTCTATTAGACTGTAATTTTAAGAAAAATTGTTACTCAAAATGTACGTTTTATTTATGTAATTAGATTATAGATTATTAATATGAGGATTTTTCGTGTTAGTAATTAGTGTTGTTTTTCCTTTAGGTTGCAGAAGTTTGTGAATTCATTCGCACTTTACCTGGCTGTTCGGATTATGTGGAAGATTTTGCAATACAAGAAATTGATGGTCAAGCTTTGATGCTCTTGAAAGAGGATCATTTGATGACAGCGATGTCCATGAAGCTTGGTCCTGCTTTAAAAATTTGTGCAAAAATAGATACAATGAGATGTGATGTGAAAGAAAAGTGAGACTTTTTATAAAAACTGACCTTTTTGTGCTTGACGTCATCAACGTGTTGAGAAACATAACTGTTATTGTGTTACAAAACTTACAAGAATTTTAAATGATCACGTGGAAGTGTTCTTGTATCATATTTTTATGTGAGAATTAATCTTATTTGTTTTGTGATGTTTACTATTCAGCCCTCTGTATTTGTGATCATTTAAGTGTAATTGATGTGCAGCAAAAGGGATCATGTTTTGCACAAGTGACTCCTTTGTTCATATTGAACAACATCCAGCCACAATCAGGATCTGTAAAACATAATTGGCTAGTGGGTAACTTTGTTATTCAAATTTGTACATTCCCCTGTCTTTATTTAATATTTTCCCATTTCATTTGATCTATGTTAAATATCCATTGTATAGAACATTTTCAAATGTGAAGTTGATATTGTTTTATTTTGTAGCTCTATTTCATGAAAAATATTGACTTTTTTTTATCATTCCTGTGACTCTCATTTGTTGTGGATGAGTGTAAAGTTAAAGCAATGAGCTTCAAAATTCCTTTCTGTGGTCTTGAGAGCAGATCAAAGGAAAATGAAAGACTCTTACTCCTTATATAGACTATGTGAATATCATGACTTTGTTTTTGTAGTTTTTGGCTGCAATATGTACACATATGTGAAGACCATGTAATATATTGTGAAATGTGTAATTTATCTTACATGAGAAAAACTACTATTGTTATATTGTACATATGTATATTTGAATAGATGTCATAGGATTTTACCTGGCTAAATTGTCCAGGTAATGAGTGCAATGTAGTTTGTAAATGCTAGAATGTCAATTATATTTATAAAAATTATGTTTTTTCTGAGCTTTATTCTGAATATCATTGTGAAAATGCTTTCTTTATTGAAAAAATGATCATTTACCATGGGGTATGGTATTGATCAGTATTTGTTAGAGGTATAATTTGTTTGTGTGTTTCATGAAGATAATATCTTCTTAACGATAACCACATAACAGAAGCTCACGTCACTGCCTATTATAAAATTTATTGTACTGAAGATACCTGTTGAGTAAATGTATAGATTTTGTATTGAATGAATTTTTCAACAGAAAATTCAATACAAATTGTCTCTTATACTTAAATCATTAAATACTCTATGCTAGACACAGAATTTTTCATTTTTCTAATGCCCAACATAAACCTACATAAAATTATTGAAGGAAAAGGTAATGTATTACTTACTCAATAATATTTGTGGAATTTGGAAAATATTGAATTGGCTAATTGACAACAAAAAAGTTGATTTTTAACAGAAGTGAAATGCATATAAGACCCTCTTGCAATCTGACCTAGGTTTTTTTCTTTTTCTTTCTTCCTTTTATCTCTCTCTTTAATTTAATCTAATGTAAGGCTTTCTTCTTTTTTCAAAACTATGTGATAAGTGTATTGTTTTATCCAAATGTCAAATCGTGGATGTAAAGAAGAAGATACTGATTTCATTTCATAAGCATTTGTTTGCCTTAAAGAAGTGTATGCCAGTTTGTACTAAAATAATATTACAGAAAATGAATCAAAATAGAGAATATTTGAATGAAGAAAGAGTTCACTAACTACCTATCGTAAAATTCTGGTATGCAGGAAATTGCTACTATTTGATGAAACCTATTTTAAGCAGTCGCTAATGATTCCATCAAAAATTGCATTTTATTACAGATAGCTACTCGATGGAGTTGATGAGAATTTGGAAAGACCTTTTGCTATCTGCAATGAAGATAAATATTCATATATTCATGCCTTTTTATTTGTAATTGAAGGGCTCTGGGGAGTAATGGATAAACCACAGCAGCACCATCATGTTTTGTGATATTCATAAATGCTAATATCTCAATTTTGTTGCAAGTGTCGCCTATCTTGCTACTACATACAGTATGTCTTGTTTATATTTATGAAAGGCTTGGAGTTGTTACTAGATGCAACATATTTTGACATACAATTAAACTATGAAATATCAAAACTTTACTCTAAAAAATATTGAATACAAAATCATTTAATTCTTTATTTTTGCTGTTTCTTTCATATCACTGTTTGTTTTCTCCCCACCTGTAGATGTGATTTCTAATTAAACAAAGTGGCAACCCACATCCTGAGGATACTTAAGTGTATGGTTGAAAATTATTAATTTTTATTTTAGTTATTTATGTATAACGTGCATAGTTTCTTGAATGTGTCTTCAAATCAAATACAATAGACATGGTGTGGCAAATCATATTTTATTATCAAAAACAAAAATTAATTCCCTTGTGAGATAAGCAACTATATAACAGACATTGTTTTTCACAATGTCCTCTAATTAGGAAGACAATAAAAGTTATCTCTTCTGTTCCCTAGTGTTACTATTAAAAATTACAATCGAATGGAAGTTGGGTGCTAGTGTGAGAGATGGGCTAATACAGGTTAATGTAAGAAATGTTTCTGGCTGCAGGGCTAGGAGACTCAATGAGTTAGAGATTCATAGAGTGGCAATAGTGCCATCTTTGAAACAGCAATAAATTTCCATGTTAAAAGGTTTTGACAACGTGCCGACAACACTAAGCATTTTCGGAGTGGATGAAGAGATGATTGCAAAAAGTGACGAATTGTTGAGAGTTATTTCAAGTGGGCTGTGCGTCGATATTCAAAACTTTAAATTATACTGTTTGTAAATTGCAAAGTGATATGTAGAACTGTATCCGCGATACCCCATGCCGACGTCGGTTCATGGGTAGGAAATAATTGAAGCTTCCCCGTTGCCAATTGGGCAATTTATCAGAATATGTACAGTACACCAGAAATAAAGATATAAGAGGTTTTGGTGAAAAATTTTCCAGGAAGTATTCGCGTCCGAAAACCATGCAAGATACCTTTTATAATCTTGTGGTATCTTCAGGTCCACTGGTTTTAAGTTTACAAGACAGTAAAACAGTGAACGGCAACCCGTTACCGCGTTAAAGGATTTGAACCATTTCCATCTTTTGGCCCCCCAAAACCGAACATTCATTGTCAGAAAACATTTCAACGAAAAATTTAAATTGGCCGTGGCCCAGATCTTTCTCTAGGGGTAATACAAGTGTATGTAAGTATTATCATACTACTCGTAAACAGTAGCGCCAGGTGACTTCAAAAATTAATAGTTCACACAATTAAGACAGAGAACGTGGTTGACGAAAAATGTGGTGGCGGGGTGGTACGGTAGTCTCAGTCAAACCCAGCTGACGCACACTGGTTACAATTGACCAAAAACCTGGCCATAATTAGAAGCTACGAAAACGACCCAGCAAAAATGTGTATTAAATGTTTTTTGAAGTTGCTGATTAGGAATTTAATGTCAAAACTGGAAAAATTAAAATGCAAGATGAAATATATAAAAATTAAGCAGATTCCCGTGAAACTGTGTATTGTGTGTTTTTAGAAGTCGCTGATTAAGAATTTGATGTGAAACTTGAAAAATTCAAAATTTCACACCCAACATGGTAGATCGAATATCTGAAAATTAAGTGGTATCGTCTGAAAATAGATTTTAGTAAGGTTTTAGGTGACCACATTTGATGCAAACTTTGAGTAATATGGTGTTCTTTATTTATTGAACATAGTGATTGTTAGACATTTGAAGAAAGTCGCTGTTATTCCAACGTGTCTTATGCGGTAAAGCGTCAGTTGAGAGATAAAAATCGTGATGCAGTTCAGTGCATGAGATTCATTATAAGACTTGCAACACACACACACGCACGCACGCACGCACGCGCACGCGCGCCCACACACACACACACACACACACACACACACGTACACACACACACGTACACACACACATTATACGTGTGCATGCATGCAAGTGTACAACAACATCGACAACAAAAACTGTAATGTTTGCTCTGAAATTTGGCACGAGTACTTGTAAGCGGTTAAAAATCAAAATACGAGATTGAAAATAACACCATAAAATAAGAGTTTTTGATTTAAAAAAGTTTAATGCAATCCGCACTGCAGTCATGTATTAAGGCACTGTTGCAGAGGAGCCGACCGGGACAGTGCTCGGAGGGGAAGGGCAGCGAGGTGAGGTGGGCGGAACGGGATGAGAAGGGCGGAGCAGAG